TTGGAAAGATTAAAAGGTCCTCTGATTCAATTCAAATTCAGAGATTCAGCCACTGAATCGGGCCAAATCTCTGCTGAATTGAATCAGGGACAAAAACTTCGCACAGACCTACCACTATGAAGACATCTGACACCAGAAAAACTGTCAACGCTTTCTACTGAATGAGGAAATCCTTGCTTTCAGTAAAAAGTGTTGATGTTTACTCAGATCCCATCACCTACAGCAGTTTGTGGTGCTACCCCTGTGCAAGTCTCTCTTTTCCTTTATCTCAGTGCTTTCTCTCATATTCTTCACACCAGCTAAGCCATCTTAAATGTCCCCAGCCCCATTCTACTTTTTTCCATGACATCAGTCTCCCTCTTCTCTTAAGGTCCCTCGCTTCCTTCAAACCGAGGGAGCTCAACTGAGTCTTGCTGACTTTATTTTCTTTAAATCATGTAACAAAATTTACAACCAAGTTACTCACCTCTATCTATCCAGCCTCACAATTTCATTATTGTTACCCTTTTGATCCCTCCCCGATTCCCTGCTACTGCTCGTCAAACTGCCCATTGTGCTTTGGCTTCAATTGAAGCCCGCATGCAGCAAAGATTTACGAAGAGGGGCAGCCTCCCTGAAGTCAATGGAACCGCGCACAGGCATAAAGATATTTGTGCTCAAGTCTTGCAGGACCGGAGTATTAGACTGCCCGCTCTTCAGGGCGGGGATCGTGTCGCAGGATCTGGACTGCCATTTTCAACACCGGAGCCCTGATCCAGACCGAAGCCTGCAAGCCGTACCGCAACGCAATGACAGAAACATCCTTAAAATGAAGCTTCCCAATTTGGTCCCTCCTCCGCGGTACCGGCATTCCAAGCTCCTAGCATCACCAGGTGTGATTTATGTCTCTTTGTATACACAAAGCACACCAAACATGCTGCTGACCTAAACAAAATGATATATTTAACTGTAGCATACAGGAATGTAATACTACAAACAGCTCAGATAAGACCTCCAGGAGTTTGCTTAATGTTACAACATAAATTTTATCCAAAATGTACACAAATAGTTTGAATTATTAATAGTGTTTACACAAACCAAGAGAAGAATACGCACTGAAATCTCTCCAGCAAGCAAACACAAACTGGACACTAAAAATGATTGGCAAGCCTTCTACAATCTTGCCAGGATCACATCAGTTTCATATTTGCAATCTTTCTGCCACTCAGTTTTTCCCTGCCTCGGCGTAGAGAACTGTGCAAATACGTGAAAGAAGAGGTTGGGCCATCTTTTATTCATGGCATACATCATAAATCCATGTAGGGCAATAGGGATGTGCCGTAAGAGCGCTATAGCAGGTAGAGTGCAAATATTCTGTTTTGCAAGACGTGCAAAACTGCCTGCTAAATCCTGCTTCTGGCATCACACACAGAGCGAAGTGGGAAAGATCTGCTGTTTATGGTGACGAAGATGAGAAGAGCTAAAAAAGCAAGAGAAGCTGGTAGATTTACACAGTGCATGCAGGATTCTGGATTCAGGCTTCAGAGGAAAATCTAGTTTTACTGTTAAACACAATGTCCGAAAGGAGCTACGACCTCAACCCTGCAAGTGGATCCCTGAGTGCAACATCCGCTCACCCCGAGGCCAGCAGGACTTAAACGCAGGATCGGGGCCTGTGTGCAAGTTCAGTGGCTGTGCAAATGCTCACTCTACAGGCTGCTTGGAAGAAAGCCTCTGTTCACAAACCCCTCTCCCCTCCCAACACCCCACTAGGTTGCCAAATTTCTGCAAACCCCCTGAAATCAGCCCTGCCGATGACAGCACTTTGAGAATCAATAGGTTAGTTTGTACCTAGACTTACTACTTTTTCAGCCAGTGACTTCAATAGTGAGGTCACATAAATGCCTGGAGAATTCTCCTGGAAGATAAAGTTTCTTCATTTTCACCTTCATTTACCAACATATGTTCCCCCAAAATTGCTTTAAATAAATGCATCGAAGCAGTTTCACGAGTGTAATATAATTACAACAGAGCAGGACTGCATGCTAGTATAAGCCCTTGGCACCTTAAAAGACAGATCTACGCTCCTGGTTTGTTTAGGTCTCCATTGTGTTTCACCATCAACGGACTCATCTACCGTCCGAGCCCTTTTGCTCCTCCAGACACCCCTCTTCCACACGTCACACAATCGGCATGCGAGCGGTGCACCCGGTCCTGCTCAGACTGTCTGGGGATGAAGCAGTCTCTTGTCTCATCATCGCTGCCACCGCAGAAAGGTAATTCGGCAATCTGCGCGAGCCACAACGGCACTGGCCTTTGAAATACGTTAACCGCACGACCGGTGGGAGGGCGAGCCAGGGGGGCCCTCGATGCTCGCGGTCGCCGGGCACCGCAGTCCGTCAGCCCGCACACCTGCCTGCAAGCGGGTGGGCTGCGGGGCAGGCAGGCGAACACAGGGGCAGACACGGGCTGGGGGGCAAGCAATGCCCACTGCAATACAGGGTCGACCATGGGCTGGGGGCAGGAGGGCGATGCCCGTTTCAACGCAGGGGCAGACACGGGCCGAGGGGCAAGCGGGTGAAGACCATTTCAATGCAGAACGGACCACTGTTGGACGGCCAGCGATGCCTGTGTCGACCATGGGGTGGGGGGCAAGCAGGCGATGCCCGTTTCAACGCAGGGGCAGACACGGGCTAGGGGGCAAGCAATGCCCATGTCAACACAGGGTGGACCACGGGGTGGGGGCAGGCGGGCGATGCGCGTTTCAAAGCAGGGCAGGTGGGCGATGCAGGGTGGACGGTCGGGGAGATGGGGGGCGCCGACACGGAGGGACCAGCCCGTGGGGGGCTGCAGATCCAGGGGGAGGGGTCCCGGGGGGGGCGGTAGGTACCTGGGCTCGGGCAGGCTGATCTTCTTGCTGGCGCGGGCGGCCGGGGTGCTCTTGCTCTTCTCCATGGCCATGAGGTAGCTGACATCGGCCAGCACGGCCTCCAGGTCCGCCATGTTGGCGGGCCCGGCCCAGCCC